TTGTCAAGTTTTGACATCTGAACAAGCAAAACATGAAAGTACAAACTTATACTTATCAGTACAAAACATAAATCAAATGTCAATGTAATGATTATGTAACATTTAATTAATATTATGTAATTACATGTTAATAACTATGTAACACAGCAAAACAACAATAATAACTCTAGACTTCTGAGAATTCATTAGTAATAATTCATGTTTTCCCCACTGTTACTTAGTTACTGTTATAGACTCTTTATCCTCCTCCAATATTTCTGGGAGCTGGATGCTGACTACTTCTCTCTCTCTTGCTCTGTGCTCCTTCTCTCCAGTGTTTAAAGGCTAGCGGACTCCTTTCACCCGCTCTCTTGCTGTGTTAGCATCGTTAGCCCGCTCCCTGCCCCGAGGCTTCGTTTGAAATTAATTGCGTTTTTGTTTCGCACGCTAATGGAAACTTTCCCCTCACTTTAAATTCCACTTACAGAAACATAATCAACCTGCCCTCTTCTCCACCCAAGCGGATCCCCCTCTGTGCTTTTGCTCCCTCCACAACCCCCCACCACTCCCTCCTTCCCCCGCTCCTTCCATCCATCCACCTTTTCCTCTATTTTCGACATCTTGTTTGGGCTTTCCGCCTCACTTCTGTTCTCTGTTTCTCTCTTCTCTTCCTCTGTTTGCTGGTGGTGGGCCACATCCCGATGGTTCTTGGGGATCAAGGGTCACTCACTAAGATGCCTTTCAGAAGTGCAAATGGATGAGCAAGGCCAAGGGACCACAGCCTGAAGAAGTGAGCTGGAAAGGTCATGTCTGTAAGAATGGGCGGGCTTGCTTTCCCTTGTTTTCTTCTGTGAAAATCGTGCAGTTATCACATCCTCAGTCCTTCTTTCTGGAAACATCCCACTCGTTATGATACAATGTCAGTAGGCAGGTTGCAAGTCATGGAATATTACGCAACATGTTTTCAGTGTTTGGAAAGGTTTGACTATGTAGACATTAGAAGCAGAAATGGTCAGTACATTTTAATATTTGACAAATATTAGCAGTGGGGAACCCTCAGAGCTTCTAGACCTGAAAGATGTACATATTGAAATGCCAGATGGAAAACTGTCCAATCAGTTTTTTCTCTTCATGGCATCTAAGTACACACAGCCAAGCAAGCTTTCCCACTGGTGAAGCTTTCAGAAGTTGGACTGAAGGCCTGTTGTGTCAGATTAAACAACATAATTAGGCAGTAACAGAGGAATCAACCATTTATGTCTTGATTTACAATGGGTGGAACCAGTCTTGCAACAAAAACCAGAACAATGGAACAATGGAACAACTGACTGGAAACAGCAGGAGATCTTCACTAGTGATCTTTCCTGAAAGATTCATTGTAAAACTTCTACATACAAAGTAGATTAAATATTAATGTCTGTTAGTGTGATTTTGATAAAATATACATATAAGTCTTTTTTCCTAGCTGTGTTTAACCCCTTAAATGGCCAGGGTCCGCCAGTGGACTCAAAGTTTTATTACGCTTTCTTTAACCTAAGAATAGCTCAACCAGTTTGCTGTCCCTGATGTTACTAAGTAATAAGTCTAAGTATGTAATAAGCAGCACTGTTAACATGTTTTGCCACAGAAGTAAGATGTCAGCAAATGAGGACACCTGGACTAAGAATGACATGAGAACCTTTCTGAGTTTCATTTAATATAACATATATTTATTGAGAAATTTCAGTTATGGTTAATTGTGTTAAACAGGCAATTAGCTGAAATATAAGAATTTTAAGAATCTGCCCATTAATCACTTCTCTTTATTGTCAGTGAAGCCAAATTTTGATACACATGAAATTCTTGGTTAAAAAGTGTCAACAACTAAGTATATGGCTTTATTACATAAAGCATTTTTGTAAGTTTAGCTTTTTTAGAGTTTTGACGGAAATAAATGTAAGCAAAGTTTACTAGTTTTGAACTTAGTAAAAATCTGAGGTAGTGAATACAGCAGCCTATGCTATTGTGCTGTTGTTGTTTTTTGGATGGATGTGATGGATGGCAGGCGTGTTGGAAGTGACGCAACACACCGTGAATGCATGGTAGAACACGTACAATCCACTGATATGATGACTGCTTGTGGATGCTTTGATGCGTGTCCTTTGTTTTGTCCTCCGTGCTGTGACTTGTTGTGGCCTGCTCTTCGTGACTCTGGGTATGTTCATAGTTGTTTAGAGGGATTGGAGGATTTGTCCAAGAGCAGATTACACTTGAAATCAAGCACTGGACGCAAACTTTATATTATGAAACAGAATTAGAGAATAGTCTGGCATGCTAAGACATAGCTGACCTTTTATTGTGTGTGAGAGAAGGTCTTTTCTTTTCGTATGTATATGACGCATCAATCCTGAATGCGAGGTATTGTAATTAAGTTCCGCTGTTTATGTGGTTATGTGAGTCGCTATTATTTTTCTAGTGCATAAATGAGATTGTGAGTGTCCTCAAGCACAGTAAAGGACTGCCATATAACTCTGTGATGTGTTTCCATCTGGCTGACCACGAGTCCAGATTGAACAGCAGTTGCACTCATGGAGTGCGTGTGGGTGGGTGTTGGGCTGAAGCCCACAATGAAGGGCTGAAGATGAATCATTGTGTGTGCTGATTCTGTACGATCCCACATGGACACTTGGCTGTAATCCAGGTTTGTTTAGTGTGCAGATGACTGACAGAGGGTGGAGAATCAGCCACTGACACTAGCTAGCATCAATAGACTAGCATCAATACAGTCAGTTCAAAGGCCTGCACTAATAGCTGTGTGGTTACGTGTGGGTATGGGCAGGAGTGTTGACAGTTGGTAATGCTGTTTTTATTGCTACTAGATTCCCTGTTTACTTACTTCCACGCTAGCCCCCCAACCTCCCCCAACACACACATACACGCACACACACACACACGCACACACACACACACACACACACACACACACATAAAACCCATCCACTTAGACCTGATATTTAATTTACTCATGAAACATTCATTTCATCTGAAAGCAACAGAAGGAGAAGAGAGGAGAGCGAAAGATGAAATGAGTAGAAGAGAAGAGAAGAGAAGAGAAGAGAAGAGAAGAGAAGAGAAGAGAAGAGAAGAGATATATGAGAAAACAGCAAAAAAATTAATGAAGACAGACGAGAAGAGAGCAAAAGATGAGATCATGGAACAGGAGAGCAAGAGAAAAAAATGAGAAGAGAAGAGAAGAGAAGAGAAGAGAAGAGAAGAGAAGAGATGTGATGAAAAAAGAGCAAAAGATTAGAGAAGAGAAGACGTAAGGGCGTAAACAGGGGCGTAAAATTTGTAAGGGTACAGATGAGGAATAAATAGCTGAAGTAGTTGAAGAAAAGGATAGAAGGAGAGACAGAATCAGATTTTTGGTTTATAAAGGTCTTTTAAAGCAGTGCAGGTACAGTGAACAGGACCCGGAGATACAGGCTTATGAAAGAGTGATGAAAGAGACAGTAGAAAACATCTCATACTGTATTGTGATTCTGCTAGCTGCAGTCGTGTGTGTGTGTGTGTGTGTGTGTGTGTGTGTGTGTGTGTGTGTGTGTGTGGGTGTGTGTGTGTCTGTGTTCGTGTTATTTATGTGCTGTAAATGTAACCATAGGCTAAATGTTAGGCTAAGCTGCTGCTGCACTTCAAAGAGGCCTTGGATGAAACATACAGTGAGAGAGAGAGAGAGAGAGAGAGAGAAAGGTCAGATGAATGGATGAAAAGGTTCTGTGAGGGTTCAGGCTGAAGGACACACACTCCACTAGGACAGTGTTGCGATCCTCACTCTAAACACTCAGCATCTCCGCATGAGACAAACACATCATCACTGCTGCAGTGCTCATCTGCCTATAGGTTACCAGCTTATCTGTCTGTCTCACTGCCTTTACATTCAACATTCACAGTCCATTTTGTTCATTCTGTGATATTTACTGCAAAGTACATTTACACATCAACACATTATTATCTGTGTAACTGATTGTAATTGTGGTGACTCAAGTAGCAGCAGATCCTCATGAGAAGCAACTGAGTAAACAACAGCGACTGTTTATGTTATTTGAGAGATGAAAGGGAGAGATGTAGAAGAGAAAGAGAAAGAGAGAGAGAGAGAGAGAGAGACCTTTTCAGAAACCTAACACACACTGACAAACTGCAGCTTAACACACACAAATTATTGTTGTTATTGATATAAGAATGATTATTGTTAGCTTTATTAACAACAGCAGCAGCAATAATAACAATAATAATAATAATAATAATAATAATTATTATTATTATTATTGTTGTTGTTGCTGCTGTTGTAGTTGTTGTTTGTTATTGTTGATGATGATGATGATGTGGTTGATGTTATCACTCTTGTTGTTGTTGTTAATGATGATGCTTTTGTTATTATTATTATTATTATTATTATTATTATTATGGAATATTTTATTTTTAATTTAGATATTTCTGTCATTCACTCTTCTTTTGTCAATTCATAAAAACAAACATTTTCTATGGAATCAATCAAACATTCTCTCTCTCTCTTTCTCTCTCTCTCTCTCTGTCCAACCCTGTCTTCAACTGTTCTTATTGTCTCCCATGTCTCATTATGTGTCTACGTGTGTGTGTGTGTGTGTGTGTGTGTACTGCCATTGCTGCTCGGGGGGCTTAATGGTCCCACCCTCTAACCTATTCCCCCACCCCCCCACCCCCCAACTAAACACAAACACACACTCGACCCCTTCACAGCTGAATGGACTGTGTCATGTGTAGGCGAATGGGGGGGTGTGCTACACACACACAAACTCTTTCATCCAGGCGGGGGATAATGACAGTTACTCGGACCACCCCCCATCCCCACGCTGAGATGGTTCAGTCCGACTCTCTGTGGAGCGTGCTGCAGTATAAGTCAGAAGCTGCGCTGCCACACACACACAAACACTCCAACACAGCACACTCCGTCTCTCTCTCACTCACACACACACGGCGGGCAGTACGAGTGCAAATCCTCTTACTCTTGGACGATGCCCAGGCCAGATTAGACTGCATCGCATCCCAGCCGAGAACTAACGCGCTCTCTTTCTCTCTCTCTTCTTTCGCCTCATCCTCTCTTACTTCTTCTGCTCCACCACAGAGCCATTGCTCCAGCCTCCACTTCTGCTCCTTTTTCTTCTTTGTCAGTCTCTCCGCGCTCCTCCGCTGCCTGGGTTCTCCTGCTGTTTCCCCTTTCTCTCTCTCTCTCGCTCTCTCTCCGCTGCTGCAGCGGAGATGACCGGGTTAGTCGCCTGAGGGGGAGTGAAGAAAAGGTCCAGGGAGTGAGGGAGGGAAAGAAGAAGAGAGAGGAGAGGGGAGGAGGAGAAGAAGGGCTAGCTCTTTGCACCTGAGAGAAAGAGGTAGAAGGAGGAAAAGAAGGAGGGAGGGGGTGTCCGGGTAGGCTGCGAGCGGAGGAGGGGGAGAAGGAGAAAGAGAGAAGGAAAGAGAGAAAGGGGAAAGACTACCTTTGTCCGAGAAAGAGAACAGGAAGGAAGAAAAGTAAAAGAGAGAGAGAAAGAGAGAGAGACTCATTATGAAGGCTTTGCTGCTGTTGGTTCTGCCTTGGCTCAGTCCGGCCAACTACACAGACAATGTGGGCAACCTGCATATCCTCTACTCGGAGCTGTGAGTACCTAACACACACACTCATACGCACTCTCCGCACCCCATCCCGCTGCACTGTATCTGTGTGTGTGTGTGTGTGTGTGTGTGTGTGTGCAGTCTCCACTTCGATCCATAAGTACATTCCATTCCAGGACAAGTCACACTGTACCCCATCCTGCCTCTGTACTGCAGTGTGTGTGTGTGTGTGTGTGTGTGTGTGTGCGCGCATACCCAGAGGGTACTCGTAGCTCAAATATTGATCTTTTAAACTCAGGAGACGATGATTCTCCTAATATTCCATAGGAGAAATAGTCTTAGACATGAGACAGGGAGACACTTCTGGCCCAGATCACAGTTATAACAGTTACTCAAAGGATCAACAGTGAGAAGCCTTTTAGTGCTGAAATGAGAAAATGTTAAGCAGTTCAGTTGCAGATAAACAAGATAGTTGTTATTTTGGCAAATCTGATCACAATGTGTGATTTTAATGAAATCTTTACTCAAGCTCAAGAAGAGACATGACAGATTAGTGGACTTTCTCAGGGGGCTCTCGGGAGAAATGTCTGAGCAGCAGAGCAAATGATGAGAGAAGAGAAGAGAGCAAAAGATGAGTGAAAAGAAGAGAAGAGAGCAAAAAGATAAAAGAAGAGAAGAAAGCAAAAGATGAGAGAAAATAGAAAAAGGCAAAAGACCGAAGAAGAGAAGAAAGCAAAAGACAGAAGAAGATAAGGTAGCAAAGGGTGAGTGAAAAGAGGATAATAGAGCATGAGACAGAAGAAGAGAAGAGAGCATAGGAAAAGGAGAGAAGAAAGCAAAAGATAGGAGAAGAGAGGAAAAGAGAAGAAAAGCCAGCAAAATATAGGAGAACAGAAGAGAAGAGAGCAAAATATTGGATAAGAGAAGAGAAGACAAGAGAAGAGAAGAGAAAAGAATAGAAGAGAAGAGAAGAGAAGAGAAGAGAAGAGAAGAGCAAAATATGGGAGAACAGAAGAAAATAGAGCAGAAGAGAAGAGAAAAGAAGAGAAGAGAAGATTTAACAGTCTTTTCCGCAGTGGATGGCAGACGGTGAAATACTGGACAAAAAGAAGTGACTTTTTTTGTTTATAAATGTATCTTTAAAAGCAGTGCAGATTCTGTGAACCAGACATGGAGACACAGGCTTATGAAAGAGTGATGAAAATGAGTGATACAGAAGAAGGACGACTAAACAGTATCTAAGCTGCAGTTGTGCTTTTGTGTACATTCTCCACTTTGATCTATAAGTACATACCAGTCTCTCATTCAGGACAAGTCACTCTGTGCGATACTGCAGCGCGCGCGTGTGTGTGTGCGCACGTACACCTCCACTGCCCCCCGGTTCAATAAACGTCCATCCCATCATTTAACCCAAACACACACTTTATGTGTGACTTAGTGTGTTTGTTTTGGAGCTGTCACTGAATAGTGTAACTGTAAATACTGATATGCTGTGTGGTGTCGGTGGAGAGGATGCTGGTTACCGGGGCTTGCTGTAGCCATGGACATCCGTTACCGTGGCAGCAGGAGACGGTCGTCAGGTTTTGTTGCAGGTTTGGTTGAGGCAGGTTGTGCTTTGAGGCCACAGAGAGGGAGAAACACTGCAGCGTGGCAGGGATGCACTGCTCTAGGGGAGTGTGTGTGTGTGTGTGTTTGCTTCTGGTAGCCGCAGTTGTAAGATACAAGTGGTGGTCTTTGCTGCTTAACTGTGCAGGAAAGCTATAAAACATATAGATATGCACACAGAAAAGACTCTCTCTCTCTTTCTCTCTCACAAATACACACACACACACACACACACACACACACCTCCCTCACTGCTACGAATCAGAGCTTTCAGAAGAAAATCAACAGTGGAGGTCTTGAAGATCATTATGGCATGTTCTCTGTGTTCTTAAGGCAGAGATTCACACACACATACACACACACGCAGCTGCTCCGCTCATATTGCTGCTCCGCTAATGATTCATCTTCAGCCCTTCACTGTGCCAATCACACAGTCTCCTCCAAACAGTAATTACAACTGCTGCCCAGTTTGTAGTCGCTGTCAGCCAAATTATACACAGAATTATATGACACACACACACACACACACACACACACACACATTTATAGCTGACAAAACCAACGGTAGCCTAATCAGTGCTCCCACACGTTCACATCAAGTGTTAATATTATACACTATTACTGTAGTGAGCCTCTCAGGAGGGCCTTAAAACAAGCTGGCTTTTTTCTTGATATGTGTATGCGTGTGTTGGGGTGGTTGTTTGTTTATTTGTTTGTTGGTGTGCTTGGCATCTGTTACTGGTAGCTGCAACTATGGAATGCATGTTGTGGTCTATGTTGCTTTTTTCCTGTGTACAAAGGCGGGCGGACGGGGAGGGGGGGGGTGGGGGTGGGAAAGCGGTCAGACAGAGAAAAGCGTGTATTCTGATAATCTGTCTGGCCAACACAGCCAATTATACTCACTCAGAATGTGTGAATGGCTGTGAATGCAGAGTACAATAGAGTGACTTACAAATCCTCTCTACTGTCTGAGTACGCCTTACCTTCACACTCATTAGAGAAGAGAAGAGAAGAGAGAAGAAGAAGAGAAGAGAAGAGAAGAGAAGAGAGAAGAAGAAGAAAAGAGAAGAGAAAAGAAGGAGAGAAGAGAAGAGAAGAGAAGAGAAGAGAAGAGAAGAGAAGAGAAGAGAAGAGAAGAGAAGAGAAGCTCTGTGATTTCATGCTTGGTGTTAATGACCGTCTCTCTCTCTGTTTTGTTGTTCATCTCTGTTATTCAGAGCTGTGTGTGTGTGTGTGTGTGTGTGTGTGTGTGTGTGTGTGTGTGTGCGTGTGTGTGTGTGTGTGTGTGTGTGGTGGTAAATATGATGAGCATTTTTTCCCTCTTTTCCACAGTGTCAGCGACTGTAGTCTCCTGTGTTTGACAGTTAGCTTTCGCTGATTAAGACATGGCAGAGAGAGGGCGAGAGAGAACGATAGAGAGAGAGCGAAAGAAAGAGAGAGAGAGAGAGAGAGAGAGAGAGAGATGGAGATAGAGGAAGAGAGGGAGGAGTGTGTAGTCGGTGCTTTTTCGGCTGGCTGGAGAACTGTGGCATGGTCATTCATCTTCATCCAGTGCAGTGACAGAGGCTCTCTCGCTCTCTTTCTCTCTCTCTCTCACTCCGTCTCTCTCTCTCTCTCTTGGTTTGGAGTTCTGTAGTTCAGTAGGAGTTAGTGGTTTATGATGAGGAGAGTAAGGGGAGCTGATCTGCAGTCTTTACACTGGTTCAGACAAGATAAATGAGCACTTGTTTAAATGCTTCAGTGTTATTATGTCATTATTGACATTTTTGCATTTTGAGGACATTTTGCTGGTCCTCATCTGAGCATGTGTTGTTTTCACCACAAATAGATTTTGAAAATGTAAAAAAAAAAAATTGCATTTTCGGTACTGAGCTTAAGTTCAGGGTTAGGTTTAGGTGTGGGGGGTGGTATTACTTCACTACAGTACTACAAAAATCAATAGAAACCTAAGGAGGTCCTCATAACAAATGTAAGACAAGATTGTGTGTGTTCTTAACAGTGTTATTAGCTTAGCCTTTATGCCGTCAGAACTCATATCCCTTCTGTTTGATCACTGTTAAGACTGAGTCTGCTTTCTAAGACACACAGAACAGACCTACACGTACACACACACACACACACACACACACACACACAGAGTTACCCGTAGCTCACTGTGACAAGGCTAGCCACAGCAGCCTCCAAGAGATTAGAAGTTCCAGTTCTTATTATTGTTTTGTTATACTATTAATTATGTAGTTAATAAGATAATTACTATTACATTCAAATTACATTCTGTACTGATAGGATCAATTCTGCACTTCAGAATTGTTTCTATTTATAAAATAATACAATGTCAAGAACTGAAAAAATTTGGCAAAAATGTTTACAAGATTTTTTTTTTTTTGTGAAAATAAGATATCCGGTTTGACAAATAATAATTATCTGTATGCTCTTTCTGGTTGAAAAGTTCTCTATGATATAAAAAAAAGATCTTTAAAGAACCTTTTAGAATTACGGAGCCCTGCTGGTGACATCCGGTATAATTAAAAATAATGCATGGCCATGACTTAGTAAGACGTGGGAACAAGATAATTAAGTCATGGCCCTGACTTCGTAAGGCATGGGAACGAGATCCTAATGCATGGCCACAACTTTGTAAGGCATGGGAACAAGATCCTTATGCGTGGCCACGACTTACTTAGGTGTGGGAACGAGATCCTAATGCGTGGCCATGACTTAGTTAGGTGTGGGAACGAGATCCTAATGCATGGCCACAACTTAGTTAGGTGTGAGAACGAGATCCTAATGCGTGGCCACGACTTAGTAAGGCATGATCTTGTTCCCATGCCTTACTAATTTGGCCTTGACTTAATCAGCTTATTCCCATGCCTTACTTAGTCGTG